TAAATTTTGGAGTTTGCCATAAATGCCATGAATTTCATCACCATTTCTTTTCTGGTCATAGTTTGGTAAATCCAAAATGGGTCTCTCTTATTTGGCTGGGTCCATCCAGTGTGTTTATAATCAGTAGAAATACTGACACCAGGATGGAACTTATTCTTCTCGTGTGCTTGAGAAGCTTTGGGCCATGAGACTCACAACCACTTAGGCCCTGGGGAGGTAGCATAGCTAAGCGGACAAGGGCACATGTATGAGTGTGGGGATGGATGCTTGTGATTGGTTGTAAGTGTGTATGGGAGTGGTTATGTGTTTAACAGTGGTTTATGGATCATCTTACCTCACTGCCTCTTGGAAGACGGGCCAGCAAACAACTTACCCTTGCTCTGTTGCTTCTGTTTGTCCTGGGCCTTTGGAAACTTTCTGCTTGAGGATGGATGTGGAATCAATCCTCTCTGTCCTCAGAGCTGCAGTTGCCCTGGATGGTGGCAGGCACCTCCGTGAGCAATTTGCTCACCTCCAGCCTGGTTAGGCCACCAGTGGGCTCCCCCCCATTTAGGCCACACAAGCACGGACCAGCACTCCCGCCTGCCTGCTTCACCTGAGTCCAGATGCAGCACCTCGGGCCCGTTATCAGAGCCGGAGCTCGGGCCTAAAGCGTCACCAGGCACGCGTGTCTGCCCCTCCCAACACGCGGCCTGCTCCCCCTGAAGTCTCCAGCGTGCCCCCCGACAGTGGACAGCCGGGGCGCCAAAAAACTCGACCAGCGCAGCCCAGACAGCTGAGTGTGTCTGGGAGGCCAGACTGGGGATGGTGCCGGTGGTGGTGAGTGGGCCCCATGGGCATGGCTGTGCTGCCGTTGGGGGGTGAAGGAGGGTACTCCCCGGGTTCGGGTATGTCCTCTGAGGATGAGGAATCGCTGGGGGTGCCCCTCATCTGCCTCTGTCTCTCGTTCCCCCCTTTAATCCCTCCCTTTAGTGTCCCCTCCTTCCCTCTGTCTCCCTTTCTGGCCCCCTATCTCTTCTCCCTTCTCCTGTCCTCCCTGTGTCCCCTGCTGGTCCATCTGTCGCCCCTTTCTCCCCTGGTTACTTACCTCGGCTGCCCTCCTCTCTGTGGGGTGTGAGCTTAGCTCGTCTCCGCTGCTCTGCTCACAGGATCTGGCTGCTGTTCCTGGGACTGCCGAGCAGGTGGCGCCTTGAACTCCTGCAAGGCTGAATAGTGGTGAAACTGGATGAACCTCAATCCTGCTAGTTTTTTCATAAATTCCTTTGCCACGGGTTGACCAACGGCATCGGCTAGTGAGTACTATTTCTTCATTACAGTCAGGGAGTCCCTCGCTGGGGGGGTTACTAGCAGGTCTTAGGGGTTTTCTGGATCAGTGGGAACAGTGGGCCCCTTTACCAGACTGTTGGGTCTCCACATTGGGTGTGGTACCAAAAAAGGAGCAAGGAAAATACGGTTTGATTCTTCATTTGTCGTGCCCTTGTGGGGGTTCGGTGAATGATGACATCTCTTCGGGACTCAAGATTGATTCTGTGGCAGGGGAATGCCGTTTGCCTTGCATACAGTTCAAGGCTTACGGCGGCACGTGTCTGTCAGGATTATTAGTTGATCCAGCACGCAGAATATCAAAACTAGGACTAAAGGTAACGTCGTACCGGACCTTAAAATGGCCGGACTTAACATACCAGAGAATATTCAGAATACTTGCCAAGGTCAGGGACACAGAATGAGACACAACGATAAGGGAAAGCCAAAAGTCAAGGATACCAGAATTCAGGGAAGTCAAAACGAAGCCAAAGTCAAAAAACAGAATTTAAACGAACAACAACACACTCTTAGATAGCCAACTAAGGGAAACCACGACAGGGCATTGAACCAAAGGTAATTTGGGTTTAAATAACCTTCCTTTGGCTGTAATTGGCTGCCTGCGACCTCTGACCCCATCGTTGGTGCCATCTTTGGTGAGAGGTAAGTATTTTACAAAAATCCAAACCGAAACGGTTGGCGCTACTAAGAGCATCGCACCCGCTAGGGACCGGACCGAAGGGAGGTCAGGCAGTGATCTGCCGCGAACAAGGTAAGTAATATTTGTTTCTGTCAGTGTGATTGCTTACTTTAGTCGAGTTCCGAGGTTCCACTGTACTCCTTGAATTGTGCAAAGCACAGGGCTTGTAACACTGATTGAAGCAGAGATATGATGGCGGCGCACAGAGGTGTGACTTTCTACATTTAATTTTACTTTGCACACATGACATATGCATGTTTACTAAATATCGGTGTAACGGATCCTAATATCCCTGTAGGAACGATCCTTGTAGCTTCTCCTGAAATCCCAGCTGAAGTAGAGCAGAGTCGTGATTATAGCTCAAAATTCCCCAAACATGAGTCGAGACTTCATGAATTGGTAAAACGATCTCTTTATTGATGGCCACAGCTCTGCCTTTTATGCAGGTCTTCCAGCAAGGGATACTCCCACAGGGACATTGTGGAAGACTGTGACACAAAATACAGTAAACAATCATTTACATTACAGTAGCAAACACACCCACACAAACAGTCAAATCCCTCCTCTCTATCCTGGAGAGAATTGGTTTAAGTGGTTGGAGTAAACTCAATTATCTCCAGGTAGAGAAAAATATTTTCTTTTTACAATGTAACAAAAATTTATTAAAATCAATAACTTGTGTTTTGCGGAACGGAACCCCCGTGTTCGACATACGCCCCAGATAGCTTGGATCTGAGCACTCAATATAGCCGAACAGCGCTCAGATCCCACGAACACAGTTCAAACACCATGGAGCTAAAGAGTCTGTTCGTTGAAATGTGTCCGAAATTAGCTCCATGAAATTAGCTACCTGGTGTCGGTCTCATTCATTTATTAAATGTACCGAACGACACGGTGTTCGTACAACTGGAGACGAAGGCAATGGCTGTTGGTTAGCCCCAGCGGTGTTCGTATGAAATTATGGCCAAAAATAGTTCCATGCGGTCAACGACCAAACACCGCTGGGTGTTCGTCAGTTTAAAATGGCCGCCGCCACGTGTTCGTTCAAACGAATGGTGACCACCTAGCCGTTCGTCAAATCCAGTCAAAAGCCAGTCGCCGAGGCTTGACGTGGATCACTGAGGGCCTTTTCCACCCTGGACCAAACACCAGACGACACTTGGTGAAGGTTAAAACAGCAACTGACTTTACTAGACATAGCACACACATTTAAACCCCCAACAGCCTCATTTACATACAATCGGGTACATAGAGCACTATAGTACAAGGAATGGTGGGTTCAGACAATAGCAAGGGCTGTTGGGAGATTGAGGAAGTACAAAGCAGTCAGTTTAAACTGGTCTGGTAGTGTCCCTGGGATAATGCCCTGCCGGGGAAACAATAGGACAGGAAAAAGAGAGAGGGGGATGTTACGATTGCCCCCGGTCTAGCAGGAGGGTTGATCGCTTGGATGTCCTGGTTCCCACTGCAGAGAGTCGAACGGAGGTCTTTCGGTAGTAAGCTGCAAATGTAGAATATTCCCAAGTACGAAATAAGCATCAATATCCCGGATCCCTACAACATGAGTCGAGGCTGCAAGTTGATGGTCAAAACGAACTGGCTTTACTGGCACATAGCATGGCAATTTATGTGATTCCTCAGGTCCAAGGACAGCCCCCTGTGGACCTGATGGAATACAGGTACAGTACAAACAGGTAACCAATCACAGTACACTGTATCATTTGAATTAGTACCCGCCCAGCTTGGAGATAATGAGGCCAACGGTTTTACAATCTAATTATCTCCAAGCGCACAAAAGACCACGTTTTATTATGGCCCAGAAAACTACATGAAAATCCATAACTTTTACATTATTACAGGGAAACCACTCATTCTACCATTCATCTGAAGGCTCGCGTTCGTGTATATAAAACATGCGAATGGCGCTCTAATCCCGCGAACAGAATGGACTGTTTCTGCCGTATAAAGTCCGTTCGGCATTTTGAGATTGTTAGTCTCTGTTGGCGGCCATGTTTTCTGCTGGTTTAGCAGGCAGCGTGACTTCGCTTCTAACTCGTGGAATTAAACTCGGTATCAGTTCATGCGAAGTCCCGTTGTCTGTCTGGTAGTGGGGCTCGTTCGGTCCGGGAATGAGGACCACCTGGTAGCAGGGTACTTGACCTGCGGTTAACCGCAGAAACCACAAGTTAATGACCGCCACGCGGCCCGCTGTAGGGGGTCATCGGTCGGTTGGTAGTTCGGTGGATCCCGTTCGGTATTTAGATGCGAACGTCGATGCCCCCAGGCCTATCAATTATGTTGTGGTTAACCGCAAACCGCAGCCGCCTGGGTGGTTAATGGCCGCCACACGCCGCTGGCTGGGTGGTCGAGCGTTCGGCAGTTTGCGGGGTGACGGGGTTAAGTGGCGGCACACGCCAATTCTGGGGGGTCCCCTGTTCGTACCACGAATGGGGCCTTTATAATGGTTCGGGTAATCCATTCGTGCGTCTTTTTGTTTTAAACTTATGCAGTGACAAACAGTATCCATCGGTTAGCAAACAGTAACATAGTTAGTTTCAGTCTTTTGTAACAGGGGAGAGGCACAGACATTGGGGAACAGATAGAATGGTCCCTGACATGGGGATCGAAGACAGTGCGCACAGGCAGGTTTGGGAGACGAATGCTCCCCCTGGTGGGCGTTTGGTGATACGAACCGGCGGCCACCCAGGGAAGCATGCACCGCTTGTTTCCCTTGCGGTCTGCCGTTTTCACACCTCGCTAGTGAGGTATGAACATTCTAACTCAACGTTCTAAATGGAGTATCGAGGTGGTCTGGCGCACGGGGTTCCGTGTGCTGGAGCACCCCTGCGTGGTTGAAAAGTACCATGCATTGTACAGTGTAAACATACATGTGGATACACACGTTCAACAAGGGAAAATCATGAGAATACACATTGGGGACACAAAAACCAAAACATCTGAATACATACCCTGCACCAATAATGGGCACAGGGTGAGCAAAATACAACAGGAATCTGGGGACCTATATGTAGTGTCTGTATTCCATCCCCAGTGACGGTGACTACCTTCACATATCTTCCGCCCCAAAGGTAGACGAACCAGGTACCAGACCTCCAATCGGTCTGTGCCTGAGTTAGTCGGGTAACAATTCCTAAAAAAACAGTCAATCCATCCTGGCAGCCTTCTCGACATTGTTCCCCCCTCCCAAACTCAAACCTCTCCTCATAGGACCCCACTCTTAGGGGGCCACTGTAACACCCACACACCTACATATAGTGTCTGTCTTCCATCCCCAGTAATGGTGACTACCGTCACAGTAACCATATTATCATTGGAAATCCGAAGAAGTCATAGTTCCTATTTAGGGCCACAGGAATGAGAATGAGACAGACTCAGAGCGGTGGTGGAGGAGAGAAAGAAGTGGCTGGGGTTAAAAAGTAAGGAAAACATAAATGAACAGACAAATGAATATAAAGAGAAAAGAATCTATGGGAGAAAAGAATGAACTAACACATGGACAGCCGCTGTGTTCTGCTCTTATTGTAGTTCACCTGTGTTTGTAAATTTACAATAAATATAAGATATTAAAATGGTTTATTTTCATATTGCTATTCTAGGTTTTTTGTATCACCAGGAAAGGCAGCATTGGGGAAGCCACAACATTCCTGTATTTAGACACTTTTATTTGGAGCATCAAGTTCGTTGACTATCTTCAAACGCATTCCCAGACACACACAGAAACAAAGCAGATCCTTGTATCTCCCAAACACCGGCCCCAGCTGGATAACAATCAGCACTTTATAGACTAGTGTTTAACATTGGCCATGGATTTGCACACAGCATGCCTTCATTGGTATAGTAATTGGTATAGCATTGTCACTACGTCATGCTATACCAGTTTTCTACAAAATCTCAAAACTTCATCTATTTCTTCAACCTCTTCCCTCTCTTCCATAACTAATTTCTATCTTATTTGCCTCTTTAAACGTATAAACAATTGTTTATCATTTAAACCAGACAAACAGTGACCTACATCTTCTGTTGGTAACTAGTGACGGCCATCGAAAACGTTTTATGACTTTTGGAGAGCAATGAGAAATAGTTATCAAAGCAATAACAATTTTTTTAAATTATTTTATTATTTATATAGCACCATCAGATTCCGTAGCGCTGTACATTTAATAAACCTTTCTTCTGCCAGTGACGCTGTCAAAGTAAAAACATTATCATTTTAAAGCCAGGCCTAAACCGTGATATCTTCATTAATCTTGCAATGATGAGCTTGATAGGCCTGTTGGTTAAGAACAAACAATAGAAATTCCATCTTCGAGGGAGTTTTCAACATTATTATTATTATTTTTTGATTATTTATATAGCGCCATCAGATTCCGTAGCGCTGTACAATGGGTAACATGTTGAAGCTTACAGAAAGCCAAGTGGAATGATGATTGTCACCAGTGGCGGGGGTCCTAGTATGTTTAATATGGACACGACAATGTGTTTCTTTACTCAAAATGGTCATTAGATCACTAGGTATAGTGTACAGTGTGCATTTGTTATGTTATTGATTTTGCTGTGTTATATTGTATTTTATTTATGGTGCTATTGTAATTTAACTGCTTTTAGGAGTGGTTATGGTGGTGGGAGTCGGTATGTTCAGCGTTTCGGCTTCAAACGCTGCACATCCAGAGATATATTAACTTTTGTGTCAGGGGTTAGTTACAACTGCAGCACACATGCCCCTAGAATATGAGTTCTGTGCAAAATTCACATCGCGTGGCGACATATGTAATAACCTTCTCCATTGCTCTCTACTCCCTACCTCTGAGCACTCCCTCCTGCCTCCCTCTGCTCCGGTTATTTAAATTAAAACAAAAAAGTCTCCTTCCTCCTTCCCTTCCCTACTCGGCTGAGAGTGTGCGAATGCGCACTGAAACCACAGAACAGTGTGTTGAAATGAGAAGCATTTGATTGGACCATGGAGAAGAATGAGTGATGCAGCCAGGTGTTAGCCGAGGTGTGGAAGACCCTTGTCCGGCAGTGCTTTCAGGTAAGGTTTTTTCATGCCCAATTGGGTTAAGATGCAAATTAAGCAAATATAGGAAAATGGTCACCTCATTTATTCTCGCATTGCTACCATATTATCATGTGTTACTATAGCATTGTTACCATTTATTCCTGGATTGCTACCATATTATCGTGTGTTACTATAGAACTGTTACCATTTATACCTGTAGTTTGTCTCACTAATTCTCTGTGCATGCAGTTTGTACTATAGTCATTTAATGTTTCTGACCAATATTTCATGTACACAGTTATTAATATTTTGGGATGCTAAACTTTTCAATAGTACATAGCACATGGCTACTCTACCCTCCCATCCCCCCTTTCCTATTCTCCTCCCAGCTTTAAATACCTTCCTATAACTGTTCCATCTCTGTCCTTCAGGCCTCATCTCACAATCATACTCAGTGGAGCTCTGCATTTTTTATTTTATTTTTTTCTCCCCACTTCCCACCCACCCAGGTTCCCCCTAAATATATAGCATGCTCCTCCAGCTGTTTGAGATTCTCCCTCAATTACCTCTTCATTCCCTTTATATTTTACCAATAGCTGCTTATTTCTGTTAACTCTTTCAGCCATCACCTCCAAACTTCCCCTGCTACCTCTTGTCTCGAATCCCCATTGTATCCTTTAGATTGTAAGCTCACGGGCTATCTAGATAAGCACTTTGTATTTAGCTAAGCATTTTATATATATGGCTAGATATCAGCTTACGGCAGGGCCCTCTCTACCTCTTGTATTTGTCTGTGTATATTGTACGTTCTCCACTAATTGTACAGCGCTGCGGAGTCTGTTGGCACTTTATAAATACCAGTAATAAATTAATAAATAACTGTTTAATTTTGCTTGTGCACGACATCATTATTTTCATTCTGCTCATGCTTAGAAATATTTTGTGATATTGTTTATTTGTTAAAAAAAAAAAAAACATGTAAGTTTGTACACACTGGGTATTGGAGAAGATTGATTGCCAGCCTCCGGTCCTGTGACTATGGACCCTCTCATCAGCCCATGCTAGACTTAAACCCCATGGCGATTTGACTGTGTTTGTGAGATCTGAGCGCTGTTTAGATATATTGAGCGCTCAGATCCAAGCCATCTGGGGATAGGTGAATGTGGGGGTTCTGTTCAGTATGATAGGAATTATGTATTTTTGCTGTGGTTGTGAATAGAGACATTTTCTGTACCTGGAGATAGTTGGCTT